CACTAGTTGGACCGATAGCAGACTTTTTCGATTGATAAGGCTGAGGAGTTGGAGCTTTTCGTATAACTCGTGGTTCTCTCGAAGAGGGTCGAAGTAAAAAATTGGAGTTGGAATTTGTTGTTGTTGCTGAGTATGCAGCAGTCGAGTTGTTTGTTGAGGGAGTAGCAGAAGTGGCTATTGTATTGGTGGGCATGTTTTTTTCAATATAGTGTTGATAGAAAGTTGTGGGTTGAATTTGAGGGCAAGTGAAGAGGCGGTTTTGTTTGATGCGTAGTGAAGTTGTGAAGATGTGGCCATAACGTTTTGAACTGGTTGCCTTGTTCGCAAAGATTTGGAAGGATCCTGAGTACCAATAAGGATAAGATACATCTGAGTAAATAAGGGAAAAAATTGGTGCTCATTTTTAGAGTATGTGTTATTTCATTGGTGAAAAATTAATTATTAAGGACATACATGTAAGGGGACTTGGCGCAGTCGGTAGCGCGTAGGTCTCATAATCCTAAGGTCGTGAGTTCGATCCTCACAGTCCCCAGCTTTTGTCTACTTTATAAACCTTTAAGATTAATGGTTGAGGAAATGCTTTTGCTCCAATTCAGAAGAAATGAATGAATCTGTCAATGAATCTATGATATTAACAAATCTGCGAATAAGATTAACTTCTCTTTCAATTGCTTGATAATTTTCTATACAAGTAAATAATTCCAAATAATAATGAGTTATCATATATACTTCAATGGCTTTCAAACTATTCATTGTTTGTCCATTAGTTGTTTTTCTAGGATGTTTGTGAAGAAATGAAGGATATTTTTGTTTAAGGAAGAGGAGATCGAATTTCTCCCAATAAGAAACTGGAATCATGGCCATCATATCCTGCAATATTCCTTCATACAATACATGCATAGAATCATAGCAACATATTAGAGAGGGAGTTGGCTTCCAATCTTAACTTTTTTTATAATCTCAAAACAGGTTTACTTAATGAATTAATAGAAGATATTCCATTTCTCTTGGAATAATATTCTGAATTTAACAATCTTTCATCTAAAATTTATCCACTCTCACCTGATTTTCATTCAAGGCATGCCCCAGTGGCACTGTTTCAAGAAATAAACAATTTACCAGTAAATTGAAGTGTTTTGAACATTCCCTAACCTGTTAATTTCTAACAAAAGATCAAAAAAAAATGTCAATAATCAAATACACTGCCAAACTTCCATCACCTTATCCTCTCTCCGAAGTCAGCAATCAATTATTTTCACTCACAAGAAATAATCAAACTTTCAATTTTCGAATTGATATTTATTCAATTTCTTCCCAATCTCTAACAAGATCCTTTGCAACCAAGGGAGTTTTTCTAAGAGAATCGGCAACAATCTTCCTATTAGAAAATAATGATGAGCAAAGAATGGTTGCTCAATATTGTCATGGCTATGGACCTTGTTCAAATATGAGCTCATTCTATGGATATATTGTTGGACAATCAGGAGGAGAACAAGATGATAATAGTTTTGAACATGACATGTTTGCTAATTTTACAAAAGCAATTCAAAAACACTTTGAATTGAATTGGAAACAAAACTAAACTTTCCATTTGTTTATTTTACTGTAAAATCATATCTGATCGTGTTACATCCCCAACTGTGCATTCTAATACCTCTATCTCTCTACTAACGACTACTAGTGTGATGATGACATTATTGTAAACCTTTCCAAAGTTCACACAACAACACCAAATATAATACCATAGTAGTAAGCGATTCTCCTTCCAGTTTGTACATGCTGGAATGTGTAACCCTCCAAAATCAAATGAATAATTGTGCAATGTGAAGAAATATCCCAAACAATAACAGTAAAAAAATGTCCTCCTCAACTATTCCATCCTACACTGCCAATCTTTCAGCACCTTATCCTCTCTGTGAGAAATCGAGTCACTCATTTTCCATTAGTAAAAGTGGTCATACTTTTAATTTTCGAATGGATGTGAGTTCAATTTCTTCCGAATCATTGTCAGCATCCTATGCATCGATGGGATATTATCTGAGAGAATCGGCAAGTGTTTTCCTTTTGGGCAATAATCAAGGTGAAGAACAAGCTGTTGCTCATTATTGTCATCGATATGGACCTTCTTCTGATACTAGTGCATTGTATGGGTACATTGTTGGACAAGGAGAAGCATCTGCAGAGAATTGTTTGGACATGTCAATGTTTGGTAATTTTGCCAACAATATTCAAACTCATTTTGAATCCAATTGGGACAGTTCAAGCTTGCCTGGAAAATCATGCATCATTGCTTAAGAAATCTTGATAATTCTCTCGACTGTCGATTTAAAACTCAATTATTTACTAATATCTAATAAATTGCAATTTATTATCAACCCAGTTTACAATGTTATTGAAAACAGTTGTTTTCTCAAACAGTAAACTCAATCACGTTAAACATGCTTCTCTCGAGAATGACAACAAGAGTTTTCATCACGTTTCCACTTTTGAAAATTTGGTAACCTACTAAAAAATGTCAACAAAACGAATTCGTGAAGGAATTTTCATCGTTGAAGAAAACAATAATGATGATTCAGTAGTGGTGGATGATGACAATAATAATGGATCATCGGGTAGTAGTGATGGCAATAATTCATTTGATTCTGCTGCCACAACAGCAACAGCAACAACAACAACAACAATTGAAACTATTGGAGTATCAACAACAATAACACGTAAATTGGATGAAACGAACAAGTCATCAAGACTTGTCAAGGTGGGAGAGGAAGATTCTATTCGATCATCATCTGATATCAACCTTTCCGAATTCAAAGTGCCTTCATCAGCATCTCCATCATCATCACCAAGAAATGTAAATAGTAAATCATCACCTGCATCATCAGGAACAACTGTAGTTGTAACACCAGAACAAAAGAAGAAGAGAGTGGCAACCACTCATCGTGTACAATCAAGTGGAGGTCTTGTTTATCAATCAGACAAGAAGGAAAAGGCAAAGAAAGTTGGTGACTTTTTGATATTTATTGATAGCAAGTTGGGATCAGGAAGTTATGCAAGTGTTTATGAAGGAATGCATTCAATAACAAAGCAACAAGTTGCCATCAAGGTGATTGATAAGAAAATTTTGAATTCTTCCAATCTCAAATACTTTTCGAGTGAAATTAAGATTATGAGAGATTTGGATTCGGATTATTGCATTAGAATGGTTGAATTTTTAGAGACGCATCACAATTGTTATGTTGTGTTGGAATTTTGTGGAGGAGGTGATTTGAATGATTTGATTAAGAAGAGATCACCACTCGTGTTCAATAATAATGGAAGAATGAAAGAGAGATTTTTGAAAAAGTTGATTTACCAATTATCTGAAGGAGTTGAATATTTGAATAGAAAACAGATTATGCATAGGTAGGTTATATTGCTTGCATTTTGAACTAATTTGTTGTTTAGAGATTTAAAACCAGCAAATTTACTCTTTTCCAAACCAATGGAAATAATAGATAATGGAGATGATGATTATGATATTGATTTTGGAACGTTAAAGATTGCAGATTTGGGACTTGCAAAGGAATTGGATACAAACAAATTAGCTCAGACAGTTTGTGGAACTCCAATGTTTATGGCGTAAGTTTTTGTAATTTCTATTTTATTCATTGGAGCAAAGACCTGAAATTATGCATTACTTGGCTGGAAAACAAGTTACCTATGATATTAAGGCTGATTTATGGTCAATTGGTGTAATTATTTATTTATTATGCTATGGTAATTTACCTTTCATAGCAAACGATATGGCTCAACAATATAGGAGAGTGATGAGTGGAACATCCTTTCCAACTAGAGACACTTCGCCTGAATTGATTGATTTATTGAAAGGATTATTGACATTTGATCCTAATTCAAGATTTGATTTCGATCAATTTTACAATCATCCTTACATTGTAAATATTAGAAACGAGCAACGAAAGAGCAGTGAACCAAATGTCATTCAACTTTCGAGCTTGGAAGAAGAGTATGACATTATAGATCCTTTGGAAATTCAAGGAATACCATCAACTCCAGATGATATCATTATTTCAACAACTGATATCTCAACAAACTCAACTCCTACCCCTTCCCCAATTGTTGCTTCATCATCATCAACATCTACTCAACAACCACCATCCCTCACTGATTCAACAGAAAAGAAGAATTTAATTATTCTCTTTGATGAAAAATTTGAACCTAATCCAGATTTGTACATTTCTAAAACTTATACCATAGAATCCTCATTGGAAAAATATCCAATTGTAATATTTGATTTTTCAGAGCTAGCATCATCCCCAGAGGACAAGCCAACTTTGGATAATGTAGAACGAAATCTTCAAATCAGTTGGGTTCTTGCAGAGATGGCTCTCAATTTTGAAAGAACCTCGAAAATAACTGAATCTTTTGCTCTCTACTTGAGATCAACTCAACTTTTACAGAACTGCACCCCTTTTCTTTCTCGAATTCCACCATCTGATCGCAAAACAGCTCTCATGTCATTCATGAATCATTTATTAAATGATGTTTTCAAGAGGACAGAAAAACTACACTCCAAAACCAAATTATTAGAGCCATCAAAATGCAAAGACATTACCAATGTAATGTATTTGTCGGCTATCGAGTTGACCAAAGAAGCTTGTTGTTGGGAAATGATTGGTTATCCCAAGTGGACTGCCCTGTATAATAGAGCCTTTTATTTATTGTCTTACTTGTCCGAATTGACGAAAGAAAACAAAGAGGATAACAATAAGATTTTACACCTCACCAAAATTATTCAATCCAAGTTGATGAAACAGTAAAATCATGTGAAAATTTTGAATCAAAACCAATTCTAATTTTGTAAACCTGCTTTCTAGGTATGGAATAATTCGAAATGAACATTGCTTTTCTATTAATATCAACTGTTTCGATCCACAGTAAAAAACAATCACAAAATCGTCATTATCAATCATCATGTCAAAGAGTAAAACCAAAACATTCATCGTTGCTCACGATATTTACACTGGAGAAAAGCATCATATTGTAGTAGCAACAGCAAGCGATGTGGATGTTCCAGTTATTACAGAGAAGAATTATGTGTTTGTAAATTTGGATAGGAATGATGGCTCTCTCACCGTATTGAATGATCTCGGGGAGGAAATTGGTTTTCAAATCAAGAATGCTCGAGTGCTGGCTGAGTTTATCAATACTCTTGATGAATACGAAAAAAGTGGACAAGATCTTTCGTTAATAGTAACAACGGTTTGTTCGATGGGTTTGGAGGAACCATCAAGACTACAAGCAGAAGAAGAGGAACACGAAGCAAAACAATCATTAGACGAAGAAGGTGGCCAACAATAATCTTTGTTGCTGCTCAGCAAAATCATCAGAATAATACAAAGAAGCAAATAGCGCCATTTTATTTCAACAATTTAAAAAAATAAAGAATTAAATTAATTCGTAACGGTAACAATGAAAAAAAGCAACAACAAAATACCAAGCTATTCCTTGAGATATACCATCACATGTGATTGCATTTGAGAGGTTACCTCCAACAAACTTCTTTCGGTACCTTCCTCTTTAAAGCAGAGATGAACACACAACATCATCGCTCATCAAATTGTTGTCTTCTTTCTCTCAGTTGTACATTATAATTTACAACTCTCACTCATCATCATATATCATCTGTACTATAGTGATTATGAAACGTAAAAAAGACATTAATTTGTTCTACTAGGAGGATAACAGCTGTTATAATTTAATTACTATTAATTGTATAATCAAAGAATAGAGTTTCAATTATTCATAATAACAACAACATGACAAATTATGATGACGATGATGACGATAAGGCTCTACAGGAATTTCTAGCCAAGAAGAAGACAGCAAACCTTCATTCACCCTCTTCCAATTTTAATCATCAGAGTTCGAGGAATATATTTGCTTCGTTTGATGCTTCTGCTCTTTCTAAAAGTACTTCTCCTAAAAAACCTCTAACCTCCCCAACAAAACAAAACAATAAGGATGATGAAGATGAGGATGAGAAGGCTCTCCAAGAGTTTCTCCAAGCAAAAAAGTCAAAACCGTCTCCTGGAGCTTTCAATACTCAAAGTTCGAGAAATGTATTGGTAGGGTTTAGTCCAGTAAAACCTAAAGTACCAACACGGATTCCAAATAATGATGGAGTAGGTGGTTCAGACTTTCTTGCTCCATTTACAATAACAGAAACACCTGCCTCTGCTAGAAAGGAGAAGGAAGACGAAGATCAAAAAGCACTTAATGAGTTCATGTCTAAAAAACAATCCATGTATGAGGTATCGTCGAAAAATACAGCAAGTTCTAGGAACATATTTGAAGGTTTGGATACCTCTGCAATGCTTAAAGTTGGAGTTTCTTCATCGTTGAGAGTAGCTCCAAAACTGACAAGAGAAAATTCTACTATCTCCCAAAAACCAAGAGGAATGTTAAGGAGGGAAGGTTCTTCTCTGCTGACGAATAACGATGGCACACTATCGAGACCACCTCCTCTATTGAGAGGTAATTCTACAATGACAACAGCACCATCTGCTCCTAGGAGAGGAATGTTACAAAGAGAGAATAGTAGTTTTATTACTAGGAAGAATAATGAATATGAGCTATCTGATAAACCCTTGTCTGATGTTCCAACAAAGAGAGGGCCACTACAGAGAGAAAACAGTTTAATGATGAGGGAGGGATCACAATCTGTGCCCAGAGCAAGACCTCCACTCGAAAGAGGAATGTCAAGAAACGATCAAGGCTACAAACAGTCAATTAATCAGAGATTCCTTTCCAAAATGAAAACGAAGAATGAAGGATTTGATGATTTTCCTGATACAGTGAGCGAAGTTTCTGTTATGTCTGTGAGGTCGACAGAAACTGCCCTACTGAGTGATAGAGAAATTAATGAAGAAGTTGGATTTACACATCAGGTAGAATTTGTACAGTTGAATCATTTGGTGTCTCAATTCATGACTTGTGGATTTCCAGTTCTTGTTTTTGACAAACTTGGCTCAATAGAATATTTGAATAAGGAAGCCGAGGATTTATTTGGAGTCTTTTCATTCAGTGCTCTTGGGGAACATGTGAGTGAATTGTTTTTGGATGATGCTTCTGTTGAACTACATCAGGCAATTTATGAATTCTTGGGTCCAACTGAGAATAGCACTCTGAAGGCAGATAAAATTGGTTCAGACCAGAACTATCTCGATGATATTCGACCTTACAATCAAATCAGTGAGGAAGAAAAACTGGAGAGAAGAAGGGCCCTTTCACAGTTAAGAACTTTGAGAGCCAAAGCAACAACAATCAAGCAATTCTTTTCAGTATCCGCCAAGATTATCCCAATATCAAAATTACAAGAAACTCACTTTTGTATATACATGAGGTTTGCTCAACAAGCAGAAAATGGCAAATATTCACAAATGACCAACTCACTGAATCAAGCAGTAACAGAAATGATTACTATTCCAGTTATTACAATCAATGACAAGGGAATTATTCAAGTTTTTAACAAGGCTGCCTCATCCACTTTTGGTTTCGAAGCTAAAGAAGTTGTTGGAAGAAATGTCAAAATTATTTGTAATAAGAAGGATAGACTCAAACATGACAGCTATTTGGAAAAATGTAAAACCAAAGATAAGAATACTCTCAATATGGTAAAGAAAGTGAAGGGAGAAACCAAGTCAGGCAAGATCATCTCGGTAGAAATCAGAGTATCCCACATTCTAAAAGATGGTAAATCTTCATACATTGCTTATATTAGAGATTACAAATCATTGTCAACACCAGAAG